GACATGACTCATCTGACCTCGTCATGAGCCGGGTGAGGGAATGATTTGATACAGAACCATCCCTACAAAGCAGTGAGAATAGTTGTTTACCATTTTTTCACTGAACTCACGTGCTGCTGCTAAGGCAGGCATCATCACTGATGTAAAAGGATGGAGGTACACAGCTAGGACTTGGGAACATACAGTGGCCTTGGAATTGGGAAGATACGGTAGGAGTTAACCATCACCTGTGTTCAAATGTGGAGCTTGCAGCCCATGGTTTATATCCATGTAACCAAGAGCAGTTGTGATCCTCTCCTTGCTCTTCACAATGCCTTCTCTTCCCCCTCCTTTTCCTGGTGCTCCTGTGACACCCAGCAGGACCAGTTCAGAGTGTTGAACAGGGAAATTATCCCCGCAGAACAATGGGAAGAGTTTTCTGTTGGCTCAGCTCTGCATCAGGTTGCTGCATGACATTGAGGAAAAGCTAGAAGATAGCTTGTTCAGAGATTTTCATGAATTGCAGGAGAAAACACAGGCCCTTGCTATTAGTAAGGAAATCACAACTGTGACTGTAATGATTTTAGATTATTGAATGGTCTATAGTGTTAAGTAATTTGTTGTGAGAGAAAAAAAACTTATTTTCTTGGTAATTATTCCTTTTCCCCATTATTCCACATTTGCTTCCACAATACTGTGGTTTCAAAAGTTTTGGTAGGATAAAGGTCATTTGCCTTCTAGTTGTGCTTTTTCTTTTGATTTGAGAGAACAGTGGGAATACGTGACTTGTAAGCATTTAACAAAATGCCTGAAGTGGTGCTGCATTCATCACTTAAGTGACTGCCTCTCATACTTAATTATTAGCCGCAGGACTAGGGCAGTCTTCCTCACACTGCCCTACTATGCAGGCCGTGCTTTTGAGCTGTGGAAACAACCACTACGAAAGTGCTAGAGCCTGCAGTGGCTTCCTCTAATTTAAATTAACAACATCCAAATCTTAAAAGGTTTGGCGTTAGGAGAGCTGTGAGGCAGTTCATGTTGTGCAGCAGGGAGACAGGAGGCTCACGCAGTTTTACACCAGCAGTAACAGTCACTTTGTGGTAGAAAGGGCTGTCAGCATTTGCTCTCTGGCTTAACCGGGAGAGATTCATTAATATATCCACCTTCCTACGTACTGTGCATGTGCCGTCTTCAGTCAGAATGAGGTGTCTTGTCTCACCCCTCTGTTACTGGTGCAGCCTAGAAGCCGTACGACCTTCCCTGGAACTTCTGGAACATGTGAAGCATCGTTTGAAGCGACCTGTTTGGATCAATGCAGACATCCTACCGGGACCGAACGGGAGTAATGCCGTTGTGGATGCAAAAGCTTTCCTTGACACCATCACTTCGTTTTTCCCAAATGTCACCTTATCTCTGGGGTGGACAACTGGCTGGCACCCTGACAGACACAACAAAGGTAAAGACAGAAGATTTAATGCTTACACTGCATAGTCTGTTTTCTTTGAATTAATTTCATGATTGTTTCACCATAAATTGTATGCCACCTTGCCAGTTTGAAAATAGTAGTGAACGTAAGAAGAATGATTTTCTCTATTGGTGTATATTTGATAGTGTTTAATAGCACTTAGTTCAGTTTTGAGTTGCAGCAGAGCTATATAAAAAATGATATTTTTGTTGTTACAATAGTATTTTGTTCGTCAACTCGTTCACACACATTCAGGAATTTTTGGGGACAAATTGCTTACACCCTGTTTCAGGTAGCCTGCTCCCTGAGTCATAGGAGGACTGGTTTGGTAATAGGAATTCTACCATATGTCCTGCAGAAAAATAGGTTGACTGGAATTTAAAACTCTGTCAGTAGATAAATGAAATAAAATTATAGGTCAGCATTGTTTTTAACATTTCATATCTGTTGAATAATTAATTTTTTCAATACATTCTAGTTTATTGATGATAGTACATTTTTTAAATCTCAGTTTTGAGAACCTAATTGAAGCTTCTTATTGTTAATCCTGAACTTGAATTTAGATCCTGAACATGCAACAATTAATCTTTTTGCAGGCTTCCTCTCATAAATCTAATAGCTGCTTTGTAAGGGTGTTTTGCTGCAGTGCACATGCATTTGTGTGCAGCAAAATTATACACCTTTTCAAATTGCTAATTGCTCATTAGCAAGATTTAATATTGCGTTATGAGGAGTTTGCTGTGAGTTACATAGTAATTGCCCAAAGTATTACCAGTGCAGTAAAAAGTTGCTGAAGTAATGAACTGGAAATACTGTACACTGAGTAATCCTTTTTAATAAATGTAACTTGCATCTACATTCTAAATAGCAGTTTATGGTGATCGTTAAAGTGCTAATTAAAGACACACTGTCAGATAGGAGAACAGCTTATTTCTCAACAGCTGGCACTTGAAGCATATTTGATTGTTTGATTTTAACATTTTCTAAGTACAATACACTTTATGTGCTTCATTTCTCAATAATTTAGAGCCTTCTACTCCATTGATTCAAATTTTTTTCTGAATTTTTCTAAATGCTTCTGTTTTTGAAGGGTCACTGTCGAGTTAAAAGTAGTCCATGTTGAAATCAATGGCAGCACTTTTTTAGAGACAGAGGAAGGATTTAATTTTCTGGACGATAGAAAATGTCATATTCTGTACCTATATGTAAAATAGCACTGCAATTAATATAAATAAATATTTTCAAAATATGTTTACTAGGACTGCTTTTCCTTATCTGGGACAGTGACATTATTTATAATGATTTAGCAATTTCATTTTAGAATTGTGTCTTTTTCACAGAGCCCGTGTTTGCTTTTGTATTACCTTGCAGCCTAAGCATTCTAGACTTTATTGTGCCTACAGATACTGTGTTTGTGAAGAATTCTTTTTAATCTCGTGGTCTTTATTGTAGGCTATGACTGGATGATGGTGAAAGAAATGGCTCAGATATGCAGTACACTTTCCCAGCCTGTAACTTTCCCTGTCAGAGCAGCACTGGTACGACAGTCAATAACTGAGCTGTGTTGGTTAATGCAGCAGTCGGATAGGTAAGTTTCAGGGCCTTTACTTTTAGCTGTCTATTACAGAGGCACATAATTGTTTATATTAAATATAGCACAGTTATGTGTACGTACTTATCCCAATTACATTGAAAATTTATTTCCTTCTAGATTACCCTTTCAGTTCTGTAATTCCTTCAGCTCTTACATTGTATTGTCATACAGAAGCGGTCAGTAGTATTTTCTTTAAATAATAAAAATCCAAAACCTGTTTTTAAAATTACTTATTATAGGTAGTGAATCCTGTGTAGATTTGTAATCCAGTTGCAGTGAAACATTTCATAAGACTACTGTAGTTAAATAGACCACATAGTTGAATGTTTCAATTTGAAAATAATGGTGATTAAATACTTACATTTTATAGATCCTTTTTATTGGATTCAGTATTTATAGTTTCTGCAATAATGTCATATAAAAAATTAAAGATTATTTAGACTGGAAGTTAATGAATGTGCTACTAGTTGGTTTTGCTTAGGTACTTGAAATACATTCAGTGGTTTCCAAACTCTGTTTCCTTCTTAAAATAGTTCTTACAAAGCCATAACAATTTCTTAGAAGAAAATATTTATATGAAACAAATGAGAATAAAACAGGATTTATATAAATTGTGTTCTTCTCATATTTTTCACCTTCTCTGCCTGCTTACATTTTACAATAAAGTTGTTCCTTGAGCACTAACCAATATCAAAGCCCAAGACAGAAAAATTAAGACAGTGGCTTGTATGGAAAATTTCTGAGTAATTGGAGACAACAGGGCAGAAAATTTCAGAATATTCCTGTGCCAGCTTTGCTCACATACAGCTAAACTCTGATTTATCTGTATTTTAGATTATTACTGTTTTAATAAACAAAGGGAAAAAATGAAGTATTTGTCATGCAGAGATGGTGGTGGTAGTAGTTCTGACTTTACATGATATTTTGTTCTTCAAGGTTTTTTTAAGAGTTACAGTAAAGTCTGTGCAATTAATGAGAAAACTGTATGTGATACAGATTCAGTTAATCAGATGGCACCACTACACATCATGTAGATGACAAAGCATGAAAATCACCTATAACTGGGATTGCCTCACATTTTCTGTTATGGTACCCTGGTAACTATTTATTGCTTTGTCAAATTTTAAATGCTCAGCCAAGTAAATTTCAAGTAAATATGTGCCTAAGATTTTTCTGTTTTATTCTTTGGTAGGTTTGGCAGAACAGTCCACACAGGGACCAGGCTACAGATAAATTGTTCTGGGTAGTGTAGAGTTGTCTGTCTTAAAAATTTTGCAATTTTAGGCACAAGAACTTGACATTTGACTGGAGCTAAATTGTGTGATTCACCTCTGTAATGAGCTAAAAAAAAAAAATCACAGGAATAGACCTCAGCAAATTTTAGTTTGCATGTGTCAAATAGAGGTTTATTTAACAACTACCAGTCATGTTACTCAGCTACTCTGTGTGTACAAAGTGTCCTGAGGGCAAACTAGAATGTGTTTGATCATGCCTGTTTCTGGGGTAGCATTTTGATCCGGGAATTGCTTTTCCCATGAACTTGAAGCCCCTGTGGTAACAAGAAGATGGGACCATGCCGGGTAGAGAGTGAGCCTGGATGTAGAGGGGTAAGGAGGGGACAGACATATAAAACTATTAATTCTGATAGTTCAAAAATTGTGATTTCTTAACTTTGAAACATTTATAAATGAGATTAAGATTTCTGGTATTTAATTACATTCCTAAAATTAAGATAACTATAGTCCTAAATATTTTTAGGAGCTTATTAGTGCAGTGTCTTCTGTCTTGAATGCTTTATCTTAAGTTAGTAACATTTTTTCTTTTTTTCCCTTTTTTGTCTTTTTTTTTCTTCTTTTATACAGGTACAGCCTCACTCTTTGGACAGGAAAGGAAGATGTGTATTCTGTAGAAGATTTGCTTTACATCCGAGAAAACCTTGATAAAAGTAGGGTTTATTATGACATCTTAGAGCCACAAAATTCTGAATTTAAAAAAGCCATAGGACTAGAATAGTGAACACAAACCAAGTGATCTCTGACCTTATAATACTTAGCCTCTTTAAATGTGAGGATTTCTTGTTCAGGGAAATGCCTTTTCCTTCCCGAAGGAATTAACACAGCTGTGGTTATTGGAGCAGATTTTGTATAACTTTATTGAAAAGTTTCTCAAATAGAAATTTAGTGCCTTCTTTATTTACTCGTCATATGCACATTCCCTCTTATTCACCCAGTAGCGTGTAGTAAAGTCTACTCACATTACCTAAATATCCTACAACTTCTGCCGTACAAGCATATAAAAGGGGAGAACGGCCCCAGCTGAGAGTTGTGGACCAATGTGGCTTGCTCCTAACTGCTTTTGTGTAAGCCAAAGTTTTATTTTCTACCAAACCCATGTTTGCTTTTTGTAGGGGAAGACACAAGTCAAGACCCTATTTAAAAGTACAGAGCTATGTAGTCCCCAAAGGGGTTCTTTTGTAGCTCATCGTGGTACACTCCATTTTTAATGCCTTTTGCAGTTGATAACATTCTCACTCCTGGTTGACAATGCTAGATTTGAAGACTGTGATCCCTGGTGCTACACATTCAAGGGAGAAAGAATGGTTATTTTTACTGCATTGCGGTGGATCGGGTTCTCTGCCATGTTGTAATTGCGCATTCCTCACCGTGGCTTAGCTCCGAGCTTTCTGAGCCATCAGCAACATGGGCCTTGACTGGGAGGAGGCTGAGCTGGATTTGTAGCTGCACAGCAGGAGGTGCTGGGGCAAGCAGAACCCCCAAGATGGAGAATAATCTCCTGTACTTAGAGCACAAGTATGGATTGCTGTGAGGTACACATCAGAGAGAGCATCAAAAGAGCTGTGGTGTTTTATGAAAGAGAAGTGCTGGTGGGTCTTTGAAGAGTTTGAAACTAAATTTTAATTGTAACGGCAATTATGTAAAGTGTTCTGCTGCAGTCTTTATGAAAGCCAGAGGCTGTAAGGATGAAACAACTGTACAGTGACTAGAGCTTACAGCAAAAATTGTACATTTTTCTGATAGCACAGTTATTTTCTACATTGTCCTGGTTTGTTCATGTTTTTGACTCTCAGAATACAATTTCACAGATTTTCAAAAGTTGAGAAAACCTAAACTCATTGGAGCCCTCCTTGTCACCTGCAGGAAGGTTCTGACCATTTTCAGTATTTTTTGCCTCTTCTGCTTCTGCATCCCTCAAAATTAATACAGATACTTAAATCAGTGCAGATTGAGACATGAGCTGTGTGGTTTTGCCTTCTGCCAAATTTTACAAAGGTTTTCTTCACAGCAAGAGGAGATTTTGATTTCTAAATTCAAGCTTATTCTGTGAACAGGCATTATCCTGATGTCTTCTTGTCCTCCTTTTCCCATTCCTCTCACATGCTTCCCACAGGAATTGTGTTACCTTTAACGTTTTACATGACACTGGACAGGCTGTTAGTAGTAAAGAGTTGGTTACAGCAATTTTTGGTTCTTACCAAAGCATTACTGCAACCATGATAGAAAAGTTAGTTACATTTATTAATCCTAAATCTCGAAATAGGGTGATTTCATGCAGTTGTTAAAATTCCAGATTCCTAGTTATTGCCTATGCTTTTGCCACGTTTACCTAATAATTGTTTTATGGATTTGGGAGGTGGAGCTTTCTCTGGTTTTGTCACCTACTAAGATACAGTATACTTGGAAGTAAGGAAAAACCTATCTAGTTGTACTTGGAATAGTTAAACAGAGTACTTAATTTAATTTGCACACTCAGTCAGTGTGAATGGTGGCAAGGAAAAAGTCCAAGTTTGGCAGTGTGATTCCTTTAATGAATTGGGAAAAATCATGTATTTTTCAGTTCACTGTGACATGACCTGACCTGAACAGATTTATCCTCTCAGTTCTTTATAGCATCTCCTTCTTTAAGACTTGCATGCATGCTTTGCTATACCATGGGAAGAACAGAGATTAACGATTTCCTAACTGATCATAACTGTGGAAAGTATTTTAAATACTTCAGAGACCCTTTTCCAACCCAGATAATTTTCAGTAAAACAGGTTCAGGACCTATTCTGTGACAGGCATGTTAGCAGTTCTGATCACATGGTAATCTCTTCTGGATGATGGACACTTTACATCAAGTAAAAAAAACAGCAATTGCCAGAAGTATTTTTAAGAGTACAGGCATCATGGAAGATAGAGCACTGAGTAATATATGTGCCTATGACTAAAAGGGATATTCAGATAAAATTAAAAGAAGACATGATCTAGATTACCATAAAAATTAATTAAAGTAACAAGATGTGTAAAGCAAGATTAACCAAAGTACTAGAAGTTAATTCTTTGAAGCATTCTTGCAGTGACAGAATGGTTTCACTATATGATGATTATCTGTATGGATTATCCCACTTATCTGAATTTCTCTGCATTTGTTTTTTTACCCATGGATGTCTATTAGTTTCCTGCGATGTGATTTATATTGTTTATGTCAGTCTGGTCTCACTTGCACATCAATAAATTCATGTGAATTTGTTTCTCTCTTTTCATGCCAGTCTTCATACAAATGCTCTCCTAAAATAAGCTGTGGGCTTGCAATAAGGTAATAAAAGTGAGATAAAAGCCAGTTATTTATTCTCTTGAAAACAGAGATCTGTGTTACTTTTTATTTTGTTACCTTCTGCTAGGGATCTATTCCTTTTACTTAAAACTTTGTTGAGAAGCTATAAATTCTGCCACCCCTACATGGAACAATTTCCCCTGTTCATGGTGCTTCATGTCTGTTGGTATCTTTCAGCCAGGTTATTCTTAATTGTCCTTGTTACTTGAAAAATCTGGGTGACTTTAATGGAAGTGGGTATTGCTTGGAATGTTCAGGTGACTTAACTGATTAATAAAACATTTATAATTGGCTGCAAGTGTAGTTCAAGCTTTGTATTTTTCTATGGATTTTATAGTACTTATTTAATAGATAAAATAACATGTTACAGAGTAGAATTGACATCATTAGTCCACACAGTTACTGAACAGTATCTTACAGTAACCTCTAAATATACTGATGAAAACAGAACAGAAGCTGATGTGAGGTTTGTATGATTTAAATCTGCTGTGAAATTGAAGAAAATGCCCCCAAAGACACATTTCTCAAAAGTGGTTCTCCCCATCTTCAGCATTCATTTGAAAATTCCTCAGTTTTAACTTCCTCTGACTGCAAACAAAACAAAACAAAACAATAAAAACCAACAAAAACCCCCACACCAATAGTCTTTTAATTAAAACCTGTGAATTAAAGCTTTTTATGTTGTATTTGTCAGACAGCTTGCTCATGTTACTACAGACTTATTTCTGCACAGTCCATTAACCATTATATAATGTTTGAGCACCATAAAGCTTTCACTTCGATTTTTATTGTGCTTTGTTTGGTTACGGAAAAATTTTGTTCCAGAACTTGCCACAAGCCCCAGGAAGCTGCATCTGACCCTTCCAGGTCTCCTTGTGCAGAACCAGATTTATATAAACCTCCACTTCTGCAGCCCACCATCTGGAATGATGCTGGTGGTGATTAAAAAGACAGAGCTAGGGGATTACAGAAAAAATCTTTGTATCTCATTTAGCAGCTTAGTGATGAAATGGCCCTGCCCTTCCTTTTCCTGAAGAAAAAAAAATACAGGAATTGCACTGTTGGGGGAATTTAGAATATTTGGGATGGTTTGGGTTAGATTTGGTTTTTAAAGGTTAGGGAGAGCCTATTAAGAGTATTATGAATCACATCCTACATTATGTCCAAGAGTCAGGGCGGCTTTTCCATAGATTCCGATGTTCTAAAATTTCTTCATTTAAAATTTCTTTCAGTTTTCAGCAAATGTCTTTTAGTAAGTGTAAAACTACTAATGTAAGAAGAGATACTGGAAAGTGTTCAGAGAGTTTTTTAATAAGTATTTTTCCATACATTTTATGTTGATTGCAAACATTTTTCTACCAAAAAACTTTAGTTTCTTTACATTTAAATTGAAAAACACTATTTTGTTGCTGTGTTTTGGTGCTCACAGACATATATCCTTTAGTTTGTTTGGGCTTTTATTGTTGCAGGAGTATGTTTGCCTGTGCAAGTGGTTCCCTGATGGCTAGACTTATAGTCTCTGTATCAGCTTGTTGTATTTACTGTGCATTTCACCAAGAATTCTATCTGTAAACCTTGTTCCAACCTGTATGCAGAAGTGAGGGCTGCTGTGTAACATCTAAACCAGGATGTGAATTTGTCTTTGGTTCTTTGGCTCTCACAGGGCTTTGCTGGATTAGTATCTTTGCAGTGAAGTAAGATGTTGCTACCTTCTTTACAGTTACTTCTGATACGTCCTTTACTGCAAGTTAATGTAATTATCATATCATTAACCTCTTATTAGCGTGGTTGAAGAAAATACTCCAAGCTGCAGTTACTCCAGGTTGCGTGAGTGTGTTCAGGTCTTCCCTTCAACAGGAGCAGTAACTGCAGGCAGATTGGTGCCACAGGACGTTTGGGGGTAATGTCTTCTAGACTGCCACAGCAGAACCTAGTTGTTAAAAGCCATAATAAAGAAGCATTATTTCTGATTGGTTTTCCAGTAGAATTCAAAGTATTGCATTTTTACCATCTTCTGAATTTTGAACATTCAGATTTGTGGTGCAATTGTATGTTGTTTTTTAATATCCTTTGGCTTGGTTCTCTTGAGTTTTTCAGTGACTCCTCTGTCATTACAGCTGTGGCTTTTACTGCCTAATTGTGAGTCCGATTCATCATCACAGAAGGGATCTGTCCAAGCAGAATTAAAATGTGTTTTGTTAAGATGTTCTCATTGTGTTTTAAAATTGCACGTACAGGTGAACTCTACATTTTAAAGTAGACTTCTTTTTGAGAGGGAAGGCTGTAACTCCTGCCATCTGTGGCAGGTCGTGAAAGTGTTCAGGATTGCTAGCTGATGCCTTTGGGGAAAAAATACAGGAATTAATTACAGTTAATTGGCATGCTTCTGCATCTTTGGG